AAAATTAAGTTACTGGAAGGTAGATAATTGTTTTTTCATCATTTTATTTCCAGTACCTTGAAATATATTTTGAGAAGTGTGCATGTACAATACATACATGTTAACTTAAATTCAATCCAAGAGTTGTTAACTCTCCAAGATTTAAACATATCTCAGGACCTCAACACTTTCAATTTTGTCTATTTAAAACGTACTGTGTTGCCTAAAATTGTGTGTGTCAGAGAGAGACAGAGAGAGAGAGAGATTTTTGGTGTTTTACTGATGGAAGACTCTGTCCTAGTATTGGCGAATTAACTTACATGTGCCCTCCCACTTGTTGACAGTAATTCTCTTCTTACTATATCAAGATAACATTCCAGACCCACTATAAGAATGTGTTTCAAGTTCTGTGCTTGGCTACCTTGACTTCTCTCTCTTCTCTGATTACAGAGTCAGTGATATGGTTATGGAGTCATACAAACCTAGGTTCAAATTTTGTCTCTGCCACCAGCTAGCTGGAGTTCTCCAAATAAGCACTTTACATCAGGTTCCACTAACGTGAAACTGATAGTTCATCAATAGCATTACTTTGTAAGGATTAAATGAGATAACATTGTAAAATATATAATATGCTGACTAGTGCCTGGAACGTGGAAGTCACTTGACAGTGGTAAATGAAGATGAGGATGAGGATGAGAATGGCAGTGGCGGTGTGTGATGGTGGTAGTGGCAGTTGACCTTAGGACCTTCAGTGGCAGTTATAGCATATGACACAACTAACCAGAAAACTTAAAATTACATGGACATGTTAACAGCCTGCTCCTAGCAGCAAGACAAATGGCTCATGGACCAATCGTACCCCCTCAGTCAAAATAGAATGTCCCTAGAAAATACAAATTTCAGAAAATAGATTTCCTCAATTTTCCTTAGGCACCCATGAGAGCTTTCTGCTATTTATAAAGTCTCCCTCATTCTTAAAATAAACCAGAGCCTGTAAAGTCTAATGTTTTTCCTGAATGCAGCAGTTTTACTTACAAAGTATAAGGATGTGTTCTTTCCTGTACTGTTTTCCAGGAAGGGGCCTGAGGAGCTGGGGATGTGTTCTACCCAGAAATAGGTAGCATATATAAGAAGCCATATCTCAGACTGCTTGAAAGCTCTTAATAAACCCCTGGTGGAGATTACTCCAGCCCCCGGAGTATGAAGCTTCCCAAGGGTCCTTTTTACTTCATGGCTTCCTTCTCCTTCTACTTCACGCACTTTTATAGTTTCCACGAACAAACTGCTGTTACAGGTCTTTGAATTTATGTGTTGATAAAATTGTCTTATAAGTAAATTAGTGAGTAACCACACCCTCCCAAAAGAAACCACAAGATTGCCCCTCATCTTCACACCATTCCCATACCCAACTGATACATTTATCTTCCTCTATATTATTTAGGTGAATTTTGTATATTTTTAGAAACCCCTCTGCTTCTGCTTCACTCTATCCCCCCAAAAAATCTTCATTTATTCTTTCATGGAACATTTGAAGTAACTTTCATATTCTAGGACTTCGTACTGGTAATACAGAGAAGAGAACAGAGTCTTTTCCCTCCAGAGCTCCTTGTGGAAACAGACATAAAACTCAGTGATTACAACAAGGGATATTTATGATGACAGCACAGAAGAGCTTGTGTTTATCCTGCAGGAACTCAGCACCAGGTCCGTAAGGAGACAATGGAGCACAGAGTGTGGGAAGAACAAAAGGACTAATAACAGACTCAGCTCACTTGGAACCCTGGGTGCCAGTGTAGGGGAGAGTGGCAAGAAAGGAAGCTAAATAGGGAGACAGGATTCATGTTAGGCATGAAGATCTTTCAGGCATCCTAAGTCATTTGAATCTAAATAACATAATACAAATTACTCAGCATGGAACTTTATCTTTCCCATTCCCTAGAAAAACACATTTCTACAACTCCACCTGAAGCAGCTGAGGAAGTCAGGCACCTTATTTGAGAATCCCTAATATATTGCAGTTCTCTGCTTGGTGTCAATATCAACCTGAATGGTACAAATATCACATTTTCCCTCTAAACTCTGATATATCAGTTTACAGAAATGTCAATTTAGAAAATATTACCAAACAGAACTTCAATACCCCATCACCTACTCTTTCAAATTCTACTTCAGATTAACCAGACTACTATTTTCAGCATTGGTTCTGACAGGTTTTTTTTTATTATTATTATACTTTAAGTTCGGGGGTACATGTGCAGATCATACGTGATTGTTGCATAGGTATACACATGCCATGATAGCTTGTTGCACCCATCCTCCCATCATCTGCATTAGGTATTTCTAATTTAATTTTATCCCTCCCCAATCCATCCATCCCTTGCTATCCCTCCCCTATCTCTCCCACCCCCCAGCAAGCCCCAGTGTGTGATGTTCCCCTCCCTGTGTCCATGTGTTCTCATTGTTCAACACCCACTTATGAGTGAGAACATGTGGTGTTTGGTTTTCTGTTCTTGTGCCAATTTGCTGAGAATGATGGTTTCCAGATTCATCCATGCCCCTGTAAAGGACATGAACTCATCCTTTTTCATGGCTCCATAGCATTCCATGGTGTATATGTGCCACATTTTCTTTATCCAGTCTATCATTAGTGAGCATTTGGGTTGGTTCCAAGTCTTTGCTATTGTAAACAGTGCCACAATAAACATACGTGTGCATGTGTCTTTATAATAGAATGATTTATCATCCTCTGGGTATATACCCAGTAATGGGATTGCTGGGTCAAATGGTATTTCTATTTCTAGATCTTTGAGGAAATGCCACACAGTCTTCCACAATGGTTGAATTAATTTACAGTCCCACCAACAGTGCAGAAGCACTCCTATTCCTCCACATCCTCTCCAGCATGTCTCCAGATTTTTTTAATGATCGCCATTCTGACTGGTGTGAGATAGTATCTCAATGTGATTTTGATCTGCATTTCTCTGATGAACAGTGATGATGAGCATTTTTTCATATTTGTTGGCTGCATAAATGTCTTCTTTTGAGAATGGTCTGTTCATATCCCTTGCCCACTTTTTGATGGGATTGTTTGTTTCTTTCTTATAAATCTGCTTTAGTTCTTTGTAGATTCTGTGTATTAGCCCTTTGTCAGATGGGTAGATTGCAAAAACTTTTTCCCATTCTGTTGGTTGCCTGTTTACTCTAATGATAGTTTCTTTTGCTGTACAGAAGCTCTTATGTTTAATTAGATCCCATTTGTCTATTTTGCCTTTTGTTGCCATTGCTTTTGGTGTTTTAGTCATGAAGTCCTTGCCCATGCCTAAGTTTTAAACAACCATTGTTTCAGATGGACTATAAATAAAAGCAAAATGTATAGACCTTAGTATTGGATGTTTTCGAATTCAGAGTATAATACAGCTAGTAGGGATAAATGAAAAGTATAAGCTGTAAGATTAAAAGAAAAAATACTTAGAAACAAGGAAACAAATGTAAAGTATTACTTTATAAAGAGAGAAAATAAATATACTTCAAAGTGGATTTTATTAAGGTACATGTAACTTTACCATGTAAGATTATCTGTAATTAACACTTCATAAATCACAATATTGAAACATGAATCAAAATTGTTGCTTTCACAATAACATTCTTAGTACATTTATTTTTAAGATACACCCAATAATGTGGTTCCTCATCTTCAAAATTATTTTTCAAAACTTTTCCTGACCATCTATATGAAATTTAAATAATTTATGTTTATGCTTTTATTGTTTAGAAATGAATGCATATTATATTTTCTCTATTAAACAGTACATTTCTAGGAGCTATACTTTTCTTATCAAGTCAAGTATTGCCTGGGCTGGTTGTTTTTCCATTGGTTCAGGCTCCTCCTGGGAGAAAGAAAGCTCACCTCCTATGACTACTGTTAGTATATGGTATAATGTACATAGTTTGTAAGTAACAAGTGATTAAAATATTGCTTCAATTTAGATATGTTTAGTCAGATTTAACACATTATGAATGAAGCCTGTGCTTTCCCTGTTCACTGTTTTATCCCCAGTCCTCCTTCCCACAGTGTTTGCCAAAATGAAGTTGCATAAAATATGTAAGAATATATGTAAAGTTATATTAAAAATATCAATTCAATAAACATGCATTAAGTAGCTATTATTAATAAAGGACTGTGCTTGTATCTGTGCAAGATACATCAATCCCCAAAGCCCAATGCACATTTTCAAAAAGTTACAGTTCAGTAGGGGAAGAGAAATCTGACTACCCATAAGACAAAGATTTAATATCAGCACCTGAAAGAATAGTAAATGGCACAATCGGGAAAAGAAGGAGGTGGGTATTTCAGTCAGAGAGAGCAAAATAATCAAAGACCTAGAGGCGATATATTCCTGGCATTTTTCAGAAATATATATCATTCCTCAAAGTGGATAGACCCCAGAAAAGTGTTACTCTGTTAGACATGATAATCTGTAAATGTCTTGTTAAAATGTAAATTTGTGTGTTCCATCTCAAGGGCTTCTGTTTAAATAGTTCTGAGGTAAAGTTGAGGAATCTGCCCTTGAAAAATGAATGTCTAGTGGTTTGGATGCACAGATGCTGGACCACATTGAGAAAAGTGATAGATGCAAGTAGGAAATAGATGTCAAGTATGAGTGTATTCAGTGGATTATATGAGGCCAGATCTAGGACTTCGTGCTGGTAATACAGAGAATAGAACAGAGTCTTTTCCCTCCAAGCTCCTTGGAAGGAACCCCTTGTGGAAACAGACATAAAACTCAGTGATTACAACAAGGAAACTCAGTGATTACAACAAGGTATCTGTGAAGACCCATTGGAATGGAGAACTCATGGAAGATGAAGATCTAAAAAAGTTTTGTTTTGTGGGAGGTGTTAAGTGGAAATTACTTCATTATCTAAAAAGAAAAAGAAACCCTTTTTTGAACATTTATAAAATGCAAGAAAGTGTAAAGAATATGTCAACAAAACAATATCCAGCTATCAAATATATGGCATTTTAATGTTTGGGATATGTTTATTGATACTTTTGTAATGTGCATATTCATATATTCACATGAAATATATACACAGTAGTAAGTACTTTGTATACTAACCTACCTTTTTTAACAAAACATAATTTATGTTTGTACTAGTATTTAACCTGTTACATCATATTTGATATTTTATTTAGTCAGTACCCTAAAGTCATTGATTAAGCAGTTTCCACATTTTCATTGCAATGTATAACAGATGCTGTGTTGGACGTCACAATATATCTTTACATTCTGGCCCATTTTTCTTCTTTAGACATATATTTAGACAATGGATCCCCAGGTCTTGGGCTATTAAAATACTAATGCATTTACCAAAATGACCTCAAGTACTCTTTTAAGAATTAGGAAAGTACTTCTTTTATTCATACTTCTTCTTGCTTATTGTGCTTATTCATATTCTTCAGCCATTTACAATCTATCAGGTAGAATCACTACAAATAAACTGTAAGAATTACTGAAACCTAGACTTCACTTACTGATCTATGTTATATGAGCCTTACCTTGGATAGCTACATACTCTAGAGGTAGTAAGACAACCTAAACGCCATGTACGACTTTATTTGTGCCTGCTTTCAGACACAGTTTAATGGTGGTCCTGTACTGTGCTAAGTTCAGTATTCATGATAGGATCAGATGTACTGACACAATCTCTGCCCTCAAATAATCCACCATCTAGAACTGTGTAAATAGTAAGTTAGTGGATCATCAGAATAGAGACAACGCATGTTGAAACTGGCTTTTTCAACAAATAGCAGTAACTCGCAGTATTGAATGACCAAACATGGGTCAGAAAAGGCTTGGTAAAGAAGGGATACGCTCAAAATTTCCTAAATTAGCTTAGAAAGAAATACTTTGAGCACAGCCTTGCGAATTTGCTTGGTCTTTACACTGTAGATTATGGGATTCATTACAGGAGGGATAAGCAGATAAACATTGGCAATGAGCGTGTGCACAAGGGGAGGGGCATGTCTTCCAAATCTATGCACTAGTGACAAACTGATCATGGGGATATAGAAGATGGCAACTGCACTGATGTGAGAGACACACGTACCAAAAGCCTTTTTCTGCTCCTCTGGGGAGGCAATGCAGAGCACAGAGTGGATAATCAGAACATAGGAGAGGAGGATCAAGACAGAGTCCAAGCCAGCAGTAGAGATAACAATGGCCAGGCCAAATGTACTGTTGACCCATGTGTCTGTGCATGAGAGCTTCATCACATCAGGGTGGAAGCAGTAGGAATGGTGGAGCACATGACTACCACAGAAGGAGAGACGCTTAAGGAGCACAAGTAGAGGCACTAGAGCTGTTGTCCCCCTAAGAACAATTGCAAAGCCCACTTTAATAATCCGTGAATTGGTTAAGATTGTGGCATATCTCAGCGGGTTACAGATGGCAATGAAGCGGTCAAAGGCCATTGCCAAAAGTACTGAGGACTCCATGAATGTGAAGCCATGGATAAAAAACATTTGGCCAATGCAGGCATCAAAACTGATTTCTCGTGCATTGAACCAGAAAATACCCAGCACGGTGACCAATGTAGAAAGACACAGACCTAGGTCCATGAACGATAGCATGGAGAGAAAATAGTACATGGGTTCATGGAGGCTCGACTCAGTGATGATGACGAACAGGATCATGCCATTTCCAGAGATAGCAATGACATAGAGACAACAGAATGGGATGGAGATCCAGGTATGCCAGTGAGGAGTTTCAAGGCCAGGTATGCCAGTGAGGAAGAAGACTGCAGGGTAGAAAATGCTCTGGTTGAAGAATAACATGATGAATAAAGAAGCAGTTGTCTTTGAGGGAAAGAACCATGTCCTGTAATAATGGAGAAGAAAAGTATTTTCACTCTTCTATACACCATACAATTTATGATCACAAGAGAACCATGTCCTAGTCTTCAATAAAATGTATAGCCACTTACTGTTTTCTTATATGTGTTCTTGAGTGAATGAGGAGAGGAGACAGAGACTAAATTGTGTAAAGAAACCTGGTTTTTAGCAAGATTCCCATTATATTGTATCTCAGCTTCAGGATATTTACATATACATATATAAAACAGGAGATTAGTTTCAATAATATAAAATATTTCCCAGTTCTATGACTGTATGTACATGGGCGGACAGAATATTTCTGGGCAACCATAAGAAACACAATGGGGAAATTCACCCTGCTTTTCTTCACTCCTCAGTTTCTGAGGCAAAAACCCTAAGGTCCATTAAAATTTTTAAGTTCATGTGACCCAGTGAAAATAAGAGAATGAGATAATATTAAATATTTTCTAGTAAAATACTTCTAATCAAATAAATATACAACAGCTGTTGAGTGAAGGAAAAAACAAAACTAAGTATTGGGAAAGAAACTGCAATCTAAATAGAGCACACTGGGTGATAGCAGAAAAAAGATTTGTTTATACAGGTAGTAATTGAGAAGTTGATTATGTTCAAAGGAAATTCTGCTTGATAAAAGAGGGCTTAAATAACCTTAATAAGAACAAAGAAACTCACTGGAAAGTATGGATAATAACTGAAGTAGTTACCCGAGCAAGTTTCTTGATTTTTCATTTCTGCAAAAGGGCATTGAAAATAGATTGGCTGGGGTAAAAAAGGTTTTCTCTGGAGATCTAAGCATATGCTTACCCAGATCCATACATCTGTAGGATTGAAGAAGTTTCTGTATATTGGTTCTGTCTTAAGTTTTCTGACACTGTTTTTTACCTGTAGAAAGAATGCTTGGTTTTTAACATATCTGTGTCCCCCTTTCACTCATTCATACATGTATTTACTCAACAAAAATTTAAATACCTACAGTGGTAGTATGTGCATTAGAATTAGACTTGCTACTTCAAGAAGGTCTGTACATGATTCTGAGAAAGAAAATATTTAAGTTAACTTGATTATCTTCACTGCAATCCCTGAATGAAGAGACAGGAGCTTAGACATCAGTAAGAATAATTGGTTACAGGAAGTGTGTTCAAGAGGGCATTTCTCTAGGTATTTGAGAAGAAGGAAAAATGTTCAATACAGGAAGTCTCTTTGAGTACTCACTAAAAAGAAAAAAATGATAGTGGCTAGAAAATTTGACTTGAGAGGCAATGCAAGACAAAACAAAATCTATGGATTTTGGAGTTAACTCTGGATCTCAGTTGGAAGATAAGCCTCACTTTTTCATCTGTGACTTTACATAGAGGAATCAAGGCATGTACCTACTTCTGCATCCTAGGAAAAGTGATCCCTGCCGTGATCATAGGGCTTAAGAGAAACTAATGTCTATGGTCGAAGTCACAGGATCAGTGCAATATATCTTGGAGTGATAAATCTAAGGGAAATAAAGTCTGAGGACAAAGTTCTGGGGAACAGCAGTATTTAAAGAAAAGACCAGAAGAAGCATCCTCTAATGAAATTGAAGAGGCACAGCAACTAAGGTAAACATGACTTCCAAGAACACACAAGAACCATTTTTTATCAGACCTATGATCTCAGAGCCAGAAAAAAAAAGGCTGACACAGTAGCATCTAAAAGTATCTAAATAAATGAATGAACTGCTTCTAAAAATAGTGATAAACCCCAACGCTTAATATTTCCACATGTTGTATTTCTGATATGTGGCTCCTCAAGTTACAAGTTAAATTCATGCAACCACAACAAGATATTTTAACATAGGAAGAAAACAAGCAGTGTTTTCAATAATCTGATATTTATCTTTGAGACAAATTTGGACCTAGTGATAAAAACATTTATTTTCCCAGCTGAAGTGGAGAGCAAGTAATGACCTTAAAATCATATACTCTTTATTTTAAAAAGGAGGAAGCAGCCCCTCAATTTAATGTTCTATTTTTTTATAGTAACTAAACCCAATTTTGCAAACCAAATAGCTGATTAGGGGTTAATATTCAAAATATATGAGGAACTCCTACAACTCAGTAGCAAAAACGCAAATAATTCAATTTAAAAATAGACAAGGACTTAAACAGACATTTCTCCAAAGAAAACATACAAATGGCCAACAAGTATAAAAAGATGCTCAACATTACTAATCACCATGTAAATGGAAATCAAAATCATCAAACTCACATTGAGATATAACCTCATAGCTATGAAAATACTTACTATAAAAAATATAGCAAGTGTCGACAAAAACGAGAAGAAATTGGACGCATTGTACACAGTTGGTGAGAATGTAAAATCATGAAACCACTGTGAAAAACATCACATCTATTTCTGAGTATATATCCAAAGAAATGAAATTAGTAAGTCAAAAAGATATCTGCACTTGCATGTTCATTGCAGAATTATTCACTATGGGCAACATGTGGAAACAACCTAAATGTCCATCAACAAGTGAATAGATAAAGAAAATACAAGGTATACATATAATAGAATACTTGTCAGCCTTAAAAGCAATAAAATCCTGACACATGCTATGACATGGATGAACCTGAAGTGAAATGCTTCATGATTCCACTTATATGTGAGGTATCTCTTAGTCAAACTCATAGAAACGGAAAGTAGAATGGTGATTCCAACAGGCTAGGGAGAGGGGAAAATTGGGGAGATGCTGTTAAACAGGTAGGACATTTCAGTTGAAGATGAATAAGTTACAGAGATCTAATGTACAACGCTGTACTTATAGTTAACATTACACTATTGTGCAATTGAAAGTTTAAGCGAGTAAATCTCATGTTAAGTCTTCCTTTCTTTCTTTCTTTCCTTCCTTCCTTCCTTCTTTTCTTTCTTTGCTTTTCTTTTGAGACAGAATCTTGCTCTGTTGCCTAGGCTGGAGAACAGTGGCCCAATCACAACTCACTGAAGCCTTAAACTTCCAGGCTCTAGTGATCCTCCTGCCTCAGCCTGTCAAGTAAAGTATCTGTAAAGTGGCAGTAACTACAGGCACACACCATCACACCTGGATAATTTTTGTATTTTTTGTAGAGATGGGGTTTCACCATGTTGTCCAGGCTGGTTTTGTGCTATTGGACTCAAGGGATACACCTGCCTTGGCCTCCACAGTGCTGGGATTACAGGTGTGATTTTATCACAATAAAAATAAATAAAATAGCTATATTGTAAACAGCAAAAATAAAAATAAGAGAGAAACCCTACATATTAAGTATTCAATTATATTTCTCTCTAGTAAAATTAGTGGTAATGTATTTAATGCCTCCTATGTGCCAAACAGTTTACTTCACTGAATCTCTGAGGCTCTCTTTCCACTGCACAATGCTCATAGCATTTTTCTTCAACTCCTATAATCAGAGGGAAACATAATAGGGTTCTTGTAACACAGGGAACTCTATTAGCAAACATGGGGCCAAGAATAGCTTTGTGTGTGTGTGTGTCACACCTCACTTCCACTCACAAGCTAGTGTCTAGGACAGTCCTACAGCTGTAATTAATTGCAAAAAAAAACACTGAGAAATTAGGTCCAGCTGTGTACCAAAGAAGACAGAATTGGTAACATCTAGCTAGTCTTTGCCACATATACCAACTTTTCAAGGAGACAATAGGCTTAAATAAAACAGTGAGTGTGAGGCTGGGCACAGTGGCTCATGCCTGCAATCCCAGCACTCTGGGAGGCCGAAGTGAGAGGATCCTTTTTAAAAAAATTTCATGATTCTTAAACCACCACTGAGTTGTCCTGCACTAAAACTAATGAGCAAACATTAAACTCTTCTTGAACAGATGCCTGTAAGTGTCTCTTTCTCCCCCACTGAGAATTCTTCCATGACAGGGGCTATAACCTAAACATCCCTGTTACCAGACTACCAGGAACATCTAAATAGCCCTCACAACAATGCTTCACATTCATTAATATCACAACATCATTATTGGGTAATAATAACTTCCCTTTATGGATGAGAAAGCAGGTTAAGATAAGATAATCAAGGCTCAGAGGAACCATATGACTTTCTCAAATTCACCCAACAAGCCAATGGCAGATTCAGGAATTGAGTTATTTTCTTACTCCAGATGCCATTCTCTTGCAAACCCTTTATTTAAATTTTTTTTACTGTGGAATGAAACAAATACATGCTAATGACTGTACTCTATATTTGGAATAACTATTTTTAACACTACAACAATATTTTTGAGTTGACATAATGTATAAAAATATACTACAGAGTTCATGCCCACTAATTTACTCTGAACACTTCTGTGTTGGTTTCATATACTATCTGAAGGTTATACAGTACCTGATTTATTTATAAAAGTCTTCAATGCACTACAACACTGAACTTGTGTGCAGAATAATTCTCGGGTCTGGAAGGTGAGGTTTTCTGATCCTGCCCCCTGCTATTTGAAGGATAATCCCACACAGCAGCGAATCTATTAACACAAAGCAAGCAAGAGAAAAGGAGTTATCTCAACCTCACTAACTTACATGCAGAAAGGTTCTGTACTATAGTTGCAGAATCAGTCCCCTTCAGTCCTGCCCCCTGACAAAGAGGTCCTCTTTTGCCAGGGGAAACCATAGGGAGAAAATTCGGGAATAGGATAACTACCAGATTTGAGAAAAAGAGCCTTTGTAAGAAGCCTAGAAGTCACCTCATGAGATTCGTTTACCCAGAAAATGAAATTCCTAGGGGAGAACTCTGTACAGCTGTGTCCTGCTCCAAATAACCCTTTGTGCTCCAAATAACAAATTATAAAGGGCAACATATTTTTAGTCTATCTTCACTCTTTCTTCCGCAAAAGATAATTCTATAAATGGACTGCACTTTCAGTTCTCATTCAAGAGCAATTTGAACCCTAACTAGCTGTGGGACAACTTTTGCCTGGAGCCAGAGTAAAGAAGAAGTGTCGTTGTTAA